AGAACTCAGTAGGTGCTGAGCTTTCATTTTATATATTAAAGTATTCTATAAACCTGAGAGAATGTACTCTAGGATCTGCAAACTCAAAACCTTCCTGGATGCTGTTTAGATTGATGATACAGTGAGTCTGTATAAGTTACATAACTAAGTCCAGTGAAGAAAACTGAGCTGTGGCTCAGTGAAATGGCTTCTGTCTCCTGTAATGTAGAACATTACACAGTAAATCATAGAATCATCTAGGTTGGAGGAGATCTTCAAGATCATCAAGTCCAACCATCCTCCTGACTCATTAAGTCTTATCATTAATGCCACATATGCTTGTCTTAAATTCCTCTGGAGACAGGGACTTCACCAATCCCTGGAAGCTCATCTGCTGTGAAGAAATTTTTCCTAATATCTAATTTAAATATCTTCTGGTGCAACCTGAGATCGTTTCCTCACATCCTGTCATTTATCACTTGGTCCAGTAGTGACTGATTACCTTTACAGCTTTTTCAGCATTAGAATCATAGAGCAGTCAGAGTTGGGAAGGGCCTTTAAAGGTTTAAAAGTCAGGTTTCTCAGAGCCCTTTCCAGTCTGACCCTGAGTGTCCCTAAGGATGGGGCATCTGCCACATCTCCGGGCAACATGTGCCAGTGCTTCATCGCTCTTAACATAAAACACTTTTTCCTTATAACCAATCTAAATCTTCCCTCTTTTAGTTTGAAACAATTTCCCCTTGTCCTATCACAATGGACTCTGCTAAAGAGCCTGCCCCATTTCTCTGAGTCTGTCCTTGTAGAGGAGGTGTTTCATTCCTTGGATTATTTTATATGCCTGAGTAGCCAAGAAGGCCAACAGCATCTTGGCTTGTATCAGAAATATTGCAGGCAGCAGAAGCAGAGAGATGATTGTCCCCCTGTACTCAGCTGTAGTGTGGCCAGCAGGAGCAGGGAGGTCACCATCCATTCTGGAATGGACTGCCCAGGGAGGTGGTGGAGTCACCGACCCGGGGGGTGTTCAAGGAAAGACTGGATGTTGTGTTGAGGGATATGGTTTAGTGGGAGCTATTGGTAGTAGGTGAACGGTTGGACTGGATGATCTTATAGGTCTTTTCCAACCTTGGTGATTCTATGATTCTATGATCCCCCTCTACTCAGCTCTGGTGAGGCCGCACCTTGAGTACCGTGTTCAGTTTTGGGACCGTCACTGCAAGAAAGACATTGAGGCCCTGGAACGTGTCCAGAGAAGAGCAGTGAAACTGGTGAGGGGTCTGGAGCACAAGTCTTATGAGGAGCAGCTGAGGGAGCTGGGATTGTTTGGTCTGGAAAAGAGGAGGCTCAGGGGAGACCTCATGGCACTCTACAACTTCCTGGAGGAGCTTGTGAGGAGGAGGGTTTTGGCTTCTTTTCCCAGGCAAAAAACAGGAGCAGAGGAGATGACCAGAAGTTGTACCAGAGGAGGTTTAGGTTAGACATGAGGAAGAACTTTTTCTCTCAGAGAGTGGTCCGGCACTGGAATGGCTGCCCAGGGAGGTGGTGGAGTTGCCGTCCCTGGCAGTGTTCAAGTGGTGTCTGGATGAGGAGCTGTGAGATCTGGTTTAGTGCTTGTGGGAGCAGTGGTGATGGGAGGACAGTTGAACCAGATGATTTTACAGGTCCTTTCCAACCTTATGATTCTGTGATTCTATAATTCTGTGATTCTCTGGTGAGGCCACACTTTGAGCACTGTGTTCAGTTTTGGGCCCCTCTCTACACTGAAAGACATCGATGCCCTGGAGCATATCCAGGAAGGGCAATGAAGCTGGTGAGGGACCTGGAGTACAAGTCTTATGGGGAGCAGCTCAGGGAACATTGATTGTTTAGTCTGGAGGAGGCTCAGGGTAGACCTCATTGCTCACTGTAACTCTCTGTGAGGAGGCTGCAATGAGGTGGGGGTCAGCCTCTTCTCCCGTACAAGTAGCGACAGGACGAGAGGAAATGACCTCAAGTTGTGCCAGGGAAGATTGAGGTTGGATATTAGGACAAAAAAATTCCTCAGAAAGAGTGGAATGGGCGGCCCAGGGAGGTGATGGAATCACTGTTCCTGGAGGTGTTCAAGAAACATTTAGATGTTGTACTGAGGGACGTGTTTAGTGGGGAAATGTGGGTGTTATGTGGATGGTTGTATTGGATGATCTTGGGGATCTTTTCCAACCATGGAAAAAACCACTTCTACAATTCTGTAATTTTTGTGGCCCTCCCCTGGATGTGCTTCAACAGATCCATGTCTCTCATGCACTGAGAATTCCAAATCTGGATACAGCACTAAATGTGAGGTCTCAGCAGAGCAAAGCAGTGCAGCAGGACTGCAAACCACGCTTATTTGATGCAGCCCTGGATGTGGTTGAAACAGTTCCAGCTTGCCATCCACCAGTACCCCCAAGTCCTTTTTGGCAAGACTGTGCTTCATCTTAGATCCTCCAGCTTTTATTGGTAGTGGAAGCTTCTGTGGCCCAGGTGCAAATCCTTGCACTTGGATTAGTTTGAACCTCATGGCGTTCTCTTGGGCTTACTGCTCCGCCTGTCTATGTGTCTGGAACAGGTTACCTAGTGTTGTAGTTGATGCTTTGTCCCTGGTGACTTTCCGTGTGAGGATGGATAAGGCCCTGGGCAACCTGATCCAGCTGTGGTGACCCTGTTCATTGCAGGGGAGTTGGATGAGATGGCCCTCTGAGGCCCTTCCAATTCTAAGGATTCTATGATTCTATTTATGATGTTAGCTCTGCAACAGGCTGTCAAGCTGGTATACTGTTAATGAAGAAAGGCATGCTAGAAGAGGTATGAAGAGAAGGCATACTAGGCTCCTCCACATCTGTCAGTTCTCAGGGCAATTACTCATGGAATTGGAACTACTTTTAAGCTCTGTGAGATGAACGCTGCTGTGTAAGGCTGTGTGAGAGTGGCCTGCTCTGGCAGGACACGAACACAGATGGGACCTTACAGCATAGGGAGACTGTTGAAATGAGTCTGCTGCTCAGAAGGGCTCTCTGGGATGTCACTCTGGTAGGAAGGTCTGGTCCTTCTTCAAGTAGTGCCTGGGTAACTTGAATTACCAGGGTGCAGTGATGCAGGCAGAGTTGGCTGTGTGTGAAGAAGCACAAGAGACAGGTGGCCAAGCAGGAAGCCTGGCTAGCCTGTTCTTTCCATGAGCCTGCTGCTGAGCATCAGCTCATGAGTTCTGGCTGCAGACTGTGGAATGGAGGTGGGGATGTAAATAAAGCCGGCTCACAGTGAATTACTTTTTTCTTTGCCCTTGTTTTACATGATTGTGGGCATGCTTTATGTGTCTCTTGGCACCTGCATTGAAAGCACCAGTGGCTTAATTTAGCTTTGATTTAGTCAATACTGCTTTCTTGTGGCTGAATAAAAGGAGGAAACAAATTCTTCTCTAGTGCACTGAAGGAAGTAAAGAAATGCGTGTTATTCATGGAAAAACTCCTCATACATGTTTTGAAAAGCAGATGAGCATTGACCATATAGCTTAAACCAACTGCTTCCAGTTCCTATTTAAGGCAAGTAAAACAATTATGGAGTGAAACAAACTGGTGTATTCAGGGCAGTTTAATTACAGCTGTAAAGAATAAGTTGTGCTGCATTGATGATTGCCAACTCTTGTTGCTGTGCTGGGCTGCTGGGTGGTCTTGGACTCCTGCTTAGGTGCGTCTTGCCTGGATTGTCTTTGTGTTTGGGTCTGCACAGGGAGCCATGGATGCACTAGGATGCTAGTGAGACCAAACTCGTAAGGCTTGTAGCCCAGTTCTGCATAGCCAAGAGTTTCGGGTAAGCAAGGCAAGTATGTAATCGTGCAGGCACTTTGCCAGGGCTTTTGAACAGTGAATGAGATTTAATTGTCAGAGAAATAAATTGCCACTTGGAAAGAAGGTGATTGGTTCCAAGCCTGCTCTACATGCATTTCCCAGATTTTTTAATCTCTCTGCCCTAGCTTCCCTGTCTGCAAAACGGGAATAAAAATAAAAAGTTACTTCCTATTGTGAGATACAGGCCCCATGATGGGAAAGTTGCAGTGTTGATAAACGCCATGCAGGACTCTAGTTGGAAATGAAAAGAATGCTTCCCAGAGGCAGGGTATTCTTACCAAGAAAATAACTGACCTACAAATGCATTCCAGTGCTGCTGGTTGACAAGCAGGTAGGAAAGCTTTGACTGTGCTTTCCAATAGTGTGTTTTGGTTTATTTGTTGGTTTTTTTGTTTGTTTTTGTTTTTTTTTTTTTTGTTAATCACAAGGCATCTAAATTTAAATGGAAGCTTTTCCCTACTGAAATTCAGATGGCTTTTTTATTTTTAAGAGTTTGTAATATGAATTGAATTATAGCAATTTGACAATACTAGATTACAGTCAGTCTTGATACTTCTCTTGCTAACAACTATCTGGTATTTTAGCATTATAGAGTGTGACTTTAACCCTCAGTTCCCTCTATGGAAGCAATACCTGTGTGCACAAAAACACCAAATCTTGATGCTGTCCTGTTGAGGTGTGAGATGAATCTTTAGCAAAGTACCCGAACACTAGAGAAAGCCTTGAGAGTTTTATGTACACTCATGCACACAGTATTTTCTCCTGCTCTGTCTGCTGCTTGGTTTGCATCCGTCTGAGATGTTTTGTGCTATGATTAATGTCTCACACATCCATCAGAGGCATCCAATTTTAAACATCCTACTGTTGTTTTCTGTGGAGAAGGTAGTGTTTTCCACTGAGCGCAGTGTCTCCATCCTTTTTGATGGCCTAACTCCCAGTAACATCTGCCTGAGATTCTAGAGTGAGAAGAAAACCTGTCTGTTTTGGTATACATGATAAGCAGCACACTGCTGCTGAGTTAGAAGTTATTTCTTTAGGGCACAGAAGAGAAGCCTTAGAATTTGCTTATAATGTACTTATCTCAGTTTGGAGTAAATGCTTCTGCTTCTTAGGGAGTGCTTTCTCCATATCTTAAAAACCAAGCTTCAAGAAAATATATGTTTAATTTCAAGTCCTTTTCTGACTGCAAAGGAACTTTGGTCAGCAGCTTTTAAGCATGTGACCTTGGATCCCTTCTTTGGCACATGGGTGTTCTGCCTGTCCTTTGTCCTCAGCTCACATCACCCTGCTTTCAGCTATCCTGAAAGAGAAGTGGCACAAAATACACAGTGGCCTTGAGAAGTATTTCAATCATTTCAGAGCCTGTAAAACAAGAACAATTATTTATGCAACTAGCTATAAAATTAATGTAATATTTTATAGACACCAAATCAAAGTAATGGAGTAAACAAAAATGGATCCTTCTCTGTTTTACCATTTACTGCCTTTTTTTGGATATACCAACCACATGAAAACTACTGAGAAAAAATTATCTTAAGACTGGAAGCAAAACACTTCACTTAAGAGCTGTTTTTAGGAGGAAAGTGCAAACAGGCCTGCTAGGATGATGATTTCTGTTGTCTGGGCTTGTGCCTGTATACTTGACTGCTGATGCCCACCTCTGAAAGTATGTCAAACTTGAAGCTGAAATGCACGTTCCGAGAATTTTGTGACCAAGTCATACATGGATCACATCTTGCTCAGGTTCCTCATAATTACTTTCAAATTTCTAGTTGTTCAGATATAAAGAATGCGTGTTTACGGTCTAGTTGGCCAGCTCCAAAATAATTCTCATATTTTGTAGCATTACAATTGCAGTAACTATGTGTAGATGACCACCAGACTCCAGTTAGATGGTCTGTTTCACCCAGTCTTCTCTGGCAATGCCTAAAGGAGACACCCTTTTGGGAGAAACAAAAGTCTGACTATTTTCTGCCATCCATTCTCTCCCAGCATTACATCTCTTACGTAGGGATTATTAGAAGGAAAACATCTACCTAATCCTGCTGGGATATGTGCATGGATCTCATGGATATAACATTCGCTAGTCCCTTTTGAAGCTGCTACTGCTGCGATTGAGGCAGCAAGTTCTAGTAGTTCAGTTGGTAAGGAAGGACTTCTATTTGTTTTAAATCAATGTTTAGACTTCCATCAACTGCATCCTAGTTTTGGTATTGTAGATAGCTAAACAGTTCAGTATTCACCTTTTAGACTGGAGTTCATGATAAATGTGAATCTTGACCAAACATTTTCTCTGAAGAGTCATTCTCTGTAGTCTCTCGTCATGAGTCAGCTGCCCTGTCACTTGATTATAGTTGCCCTTTTTGGTGTGTTGTTTACCATTCCTTCTGTAAATGTGAGGAAGAGAAAATGGCACTTAAAATGTGGGTGCACCAATGCTGGATACAGCAGCAAAGTGTGTTCAGTACCTTTTCTTGAGTGTCCTGGTTTTGGATGGTGTAGAAGAGCTGAGAAGGGCCCCGCTAGCAGAGATGACCCGCAATGGCTAAAGGGATAGTCCATAACACAACACATGCTCAACATAAAACCATGTCAGATGGCTGCAAAGATCGCTCTTTCTCAGCATCTGTCTGACCAGCGGTTGTCTGGGGGTGAACAGCTTTGTGCATCAATTGCTTTGCTTCTTGTTGCTGTTCTATGTGCTAGGAACTTGTGTTTGCAGTGATACCCACAGCTGTTCAGTGTTCACTTTGTACAGCACTTCCACAGCAGGGGAGCCTACTACATGAGGATGAGATTTTTTACAGTTTTTTTAATATACTTGCATTTCTGTAATAAATATTATTTTTTCTATGCTACCTTTATTAAAGTTCAGAAAGCAAATTCTGAAGGGATTTTCTTAGTTGCATTGTAAGTTTAATGGAAGAAAGTTCCAGCAGTATTTTGATAATTGATTTCACTTCAGAATGGGAATAATTAATGAACTCCTAAAAGGCAACAACATTTTGATACATTGCAATGAATTTGAAAAGTGACAAAAGAAATTTGAATTTAATTCTTGTAATTGATTTTCTTCTTATGTGAACTTTAACGCTACCCAATTGTTCACTCTTACAGTGACTTAGATTGACTCCCAACGGGATTTTCCTTCCATACCAGATTATTAGAATTAATTATAAAATGAACCTCAACCTTTTCACGCTGTCAGTGTGTAAAGACAACTATCACAACAAAGGCAGACAAGAATGATCAGTAGCAAATTTTGGGAGTGGTGAAGGGAAGTAGTGAACAAGATTCCTGTTCTTGAGACAGTGTGGTAATTAAGTGACAAGTGTATACCTGAATCAACAAAAATGAGTTCTCATAGCAAGCACATAAGTCTGAAAATTGAAACCTGGTTGCCTCATAATTCAGCGTTCCTTGTTTCTCTCACTTCCAGCTTCACAGCTGAAACTGGTACCCCCCAGTTCTCATTTGAAACTTCTTAGTAGAGTGTGCAGGGTGCAGTCTGTAGCTTGAGGCCTGAGCAGCCAACAGGAGCCAGGCAGAGATGTCAGAGAGTGCAGCAGCAAGCTGTCCACATTGATTAGCAGAGCATTAAACTAGATTAAATGGGGAGAGGAGATGGAATTCCGAGTGACAGAAGAAGAACTGAAGAATACTATCACTTTAGTATGCAGCATAGGAAAAACTCAGATTTGTTGCAGAGGAATTTAGAAGAGCTCTCCAAGAAGGCAACACAGTGCCTCTACACCAATGCATATGGCTTAGGAAATAAGCAGGAAGAGTTGAAAGCCATGATACAATTAGAAAAATGACCTGACCTGAAGCATGGTAGGAAGAATTGAACAACTGAGTATTACGATCAAGGGTTATAAGCTATTTGAAAGGAAATGGCAGGACAGGATGGGCAGGAGAACTGCCCTCTGTATTAAGTGGACAGATTGTTAAGGGCTGTCTCTGAGAAACAGCAATGATCAAGTTGAGAGCACATGTATTAAAATTAAGGACCAGATTAATAAAGGAGATCTGATGGTCAGACTCTACTACAGGCTGCCTGATCAAGGGAATCCTGCTTGATGGGGCTTTCTTGCTTCATCTGCAAGAAGTATTTCACTCACAGGCTTTCATCCTGATCACGCATTTCAGACATCCAGATATCTTCTGAGAAAGCAACATGTCTGGCTGCAAGCAATCCAGGAGACTCTTAGAGTTGTTGAGGTTAACTTCCTGCTCCACACTTTCTGATAAATGTGAAGGGAGAATTGGCTTCGACAGACATGGAGAATGCTGAGGTACTCAATGAGTTTCTTGCCTTGGTCTTCATTGGCAGTCAGGCTTCTCATGCTGCTCAAGCCTCTGAGCCTCAAGGCATAGATCAGGGTAGCAAAATCTCTCCCACTGTAAAAGCAGCGCAATTCTGATACTGCCTCATGAGGCTGAATGTGTACAAGCCTCTGAGGCTTGACATGCACCCCAAAGTCTTGAAGGAACAGGCTTATGTTTGCCAAGCCGCTTTCCATCTTATTTGAAAAGTTATGTCTGTCACGTGAAGTCCCCAGTGGCTGGAAAAAAACATGGACTCATACAACCGCTGAAGTTGGAAAAGACAACTGAGGTCATCTAGTACAACCATCAATCCATCACCACCACCGCCACTGAAACATGTTCCTCAATGGCACATCTACAAATTTCTTTAAACTCTCCAACACTGGTGATTCTACCACCTCCCTGGGCAGTCCATTCCAATGCCACACTGCTTTTTCTGAGAGAAAAAAAAAAAACAAAAACACACAACCTGAACATCCCCTAGAACAACTTGAAGTTATTAGCTCTTGCCCTATCCCTGTAAACTGGGAAAAGAGGCCAACTCCCCCATCACTACAGCCACCTTCCAGGAAGTTGTTGTAGAGAACAATAAAGTCTCTTCTCCAAACTGAACAATCCCACTTCTCAGCATCTCTGCTCCAAGTCCATAGTGTTGCCTGGGGTTATTGTGACCAAAGTGATCCACCACTTAGTCTTGTTGGAGTTCATACACTTGGCCTTAGCCTATTGATCCAGCCTATCCAGAGTCCTCTGTATGGCTTTCCTCCCCTCAGGCAGATTGACACTTCCAACTTGGTGTCGCCTGCAGGTCCAGTGAAGGACCGCAGTGGTGAGCAGAGAGCTGGAGCACCTCTCATGGAGACAGGCTGAGGCAGCTGGGCTTGTTCAGCCTGGAGAACATTCTGGGCATACGTCATTGCGGTTTTCCAGTACTTAAATGGAGCTTATAAGGAGGAGAGAGATCAACTTTTTACATGAGCAAATAGTGGTAAGACAAGGGAAAACGGTTTTAGACTAAAAGAAGGGAGATTTAGATTAAATACTAGGAGCAATATTTTTTTCCTCAGGGGGTGGTGCAGGTTGCCCTGAGTTGCAGATGCCCCATTCCTGGAGTGGTTCAAGGCCAGGTTGGATGGGGCCCTGGGCAGCCTGATCTGATGGCTGACAGCACTGTCCATGGCAGGGTGGGTAGAACTAGATGATTTTTAAGGTCCCTTTTAACCTGTGCCTTTCTATGGTCCTGTGACCCAGCCTCTGGATTTTTGCAAAACTTCACACACAGTCAGGGGAAATAACCTGCTGGAAAAATCTGTCTGCATTTTAATAATATCTTGTAAGTTCAATCAGTAGAAAATATTTTACAATACTGTTTAAAAGAAAGTTACTACTGTGAACTAGTGAAAAGGTCTCCTGCTTCAGGGAGTTAAGATACTCTCGGCATCTGGAAGGGCATGACATTTTTCCCTTGTTTGATTATATAGGATATATTAAATATGACCTCAGTGTTTAAGGTTGCTCAAGCTGTAAGAGTTCAAAAGATTTCAAATAAGATTCTTTTTTTCCAATTTATTTTGTTAAGACTTTTCAACAATTGTAAATAGTCATTCTTTTAAAGAACAAATAGTAAGAGGTTGAATAATCCACCTATGAGTCTGTATTTCATTACAGAGTTCAGGGAAGAAATGTAGCTAATGGTTGTTGAAAGATATTTAAAGTAACATCATTGGTGTATATGCTAAAAAAGAAAACAACTTTAAGTCCAGTAAAAATGTATATATTTGTGAAACATTGATTATTTGAATGATATAAGAGGAATCCAAGTTATCAGTTGTGTGTTTGAAAACAGTAAACTGTTAGAGAGGACATATTATTAAATATCATACAACTCAGCATTTTGTCCTAGTACTTTGCAGAATAAATACACAATTCAGTGAGACATCACAGTTCACATTTAAGTAATAACAGTGTAGTTAGCTTTCTCTACAGCTCACTGAAAACATGAAACAAATGGGACAAATGAGGAGTAACTCAAAAGCCAAAGAGGAGTTTGGTCTTCACATCCAAAGGCATAGAGGTTCTCAAACCACCTGTATACACATGGGAACTGTGGTGGAATGAAGTACTCTGTCCTTACTGCCCTGAAGAGGACAGGAAGAAAGAACATCTGGTGGTCAACAGTAACATGGAGGAGTGAGATGCACTGCATGTGGGACCAACTGCGCACTGTGCGCTCCTGCTGTGACGCTGATGACCTCTGCCCCAGTTGTGCATAATATGTTGCTCCTAAATGTGTCAAGTGGTATTCGACAGGGTCTGCCTAACTGCACTTGTTTCTTCCTTGTACCAGGCAGTCAACTGAGTCATTGAAGAATTACTGTTATTACTAATAATATCTTATAATTGTATCTCCCATCTTGTTAGTTTTACTAAAGATTAAAACACATATGCAACAGTTTCAATTGCATAGGATTTCTAATGTTTTCTAGTGTATTGGGAGAAGAGGGACTAAAATGTCCACAAGGCAAAAAAAAAAGAAAGTGACTGCGACCTACTGTTTCATTGAACGAGTCATCTTCTTTTGAACAGTTAAAGTTTTCCACTGAGAAATAGTTTTTTTTTCCAAAAGTACTGTGGTTGTTTGAATTGCAGGAAGCTCTTAATATCAGTTAGAAAGAAAACCTAGAATTTAAGGTTTGGCAACTTAACAGATGATTTTATTTCTCTCATGTCAAAAACACAAATCAGAGCAAAACAAGTATTTTCATTTGGATGCTTAAACTACAGATTCATAACTGTATAATCAATGAATATTAAGAAGTCATACTTACAAAATAAACAAGAGAGTTAGACAAATCAGATTACGATAACAAAAAGAAAGGAGATAGAAAGCTTACCTGTATCCTGGGCTCACTCACAAAACTCCAGCATAGCAGATCTCCAGAAGAGATCCTTCCCCACTGGCAGTCAGCTCTTAAATGGGTCTGGGAGAGATGCAGCCAGGCTCCACTCCTTCCAGCAGCACAGGTGAAGGCAATTCAACTGTGCTCCCGTGGCTGACTCAGTGCTCACCTCGTGATCAATCAGAGGTTCAGGCCGTGACTCAGCAGTTCCCATACAATATCAAAGACAAGGACTTTAAATCCCTTTGAAATTTTGCATAGGAAAACAAAATCGGAGAGTTCTTCATTGCTTGTGTACACTCACATTTGCGAAAATTACATTACTTTTCCAAAGTGCTCTAACAGTTGGTTAGAGCAATAGTGATGCAATTTGAGTTGTGTATAATTTGAAGATATAAACTTCAGTTAAACCAAAATGGTTTTTGCAGAAAACTGTGGTAGGAATTTGGTCTCTGTGTTGTAGACCTGGGATATCCAGGAGAGAGTCTCTGGGACTCTGGGAGAGAGTCCTTTGCAGGATTGTAGCCCAGGTGCACCCTCTGTTGAGCTCCAGAGAACTCTGAAAGATACTTTTTTTCTTATATTTTCATTTCCATAGTGTTTTCTATTTTATTTTATGAAGCTGTGTTTTAAAGTGATGTGGTGATGGTCCATGGTGTAGCAAGAACAATATACACAGTACTTAATGAGGTGGCTGGCTCCTGCTCTGACTGCTGCATGTATGTCAGGGTTAATCCAGTACACTTGCATTCATTTGCTAGTTTTGCCTCCTTTACAGTGTATTATACTGGACCAGGCTGTAGCTCACACACCTAAGATTGATGGTAAGTGCTATGTCTGTACACATTCCCACTTTTCATATTCAATCGGCCTGTTTTTTTCAGAGGTATCTTGTAGAGAGGTTTCTAACAGTAGTTTTCTGGAGGAGATGGGCTAAGATAGAGAAATTGTCCTGTACTGCCGTGGACACAAATATATACAATGTAGTGATGCAGAGGGGCAGAAGAAAGAAGATACGCAGCCATGACTCAGTATGGACATTAAAGATGCAGCAAAGTGCATAGGCTAGCATGAATCCTTCTCAATCCATGTTATGGTAGAAAACTGAATAAGGGATAAGAGTCAGCACTGTGTGGTATGATACATTATGTGTGATTAAGGCTTTGCTATTACCATGCCAGTATTAGGATTTCTTTTGTCCTCTTTTTGTGTTTGCTTCGTGTTGTCTGTGAGTTATTTGTGGATTAGAAAGGGAAGAGCTTTATTTTAATGTTGTGACTTAAAACTGTTAGAGCAGATAAATGTATCAGGATGCAAGAGCAGTGCCAAATGCACAGTGCACAGAGGATAAATGCAAGCTTGCTTTCTTCTGCTGTTGCATGAATTCCCTTATGAGAGGCTCCAGGAGGGACGGTAAGGACAAGTAGCTGAGCAGTATTATTGTTCAGGACCTAGGATCTAAGGCACTGGTGATTCCTGTAGCTGGGTGGTGTTTTTTTATTCTGTTTCTCCAAGGAAAGACCACTTACTATATTGACAGTTATTTATTTGTGTTGAATTTTTCTACTTATTTCCTTATTTTAAGGGAACATTGTCTCGTTAAAGGCTGGGAAGCTTGTTTGAGTGTAAGCTTGTTCAAAATCCAAATAGGACGTAAGACTCTGCTCTCTATACATAGGGCAGATGCTGGACCAAAATTTCTTGACCTTCAAGCTCTCCAAGTACGTTTCTACATAATTGGATTTGGCAACACTTTCATCAGTCACTTTTAAATTGAGCTACATAGAAGTGTCATCATTTCAACTTGTTTCTAGATGTGCTATAGTCTGGTATCCAGTAACAAATGCACAGCTGATGGCTTTCTGGTAACAGTGCTTTTTTCCCTATAGCTCATCCTTCTGCAGACAGCTAGTTTCTAGATCCTGGAAAGAAGAATAATTTATTTCTGTCCCTTGGACACTTTCTCTTGCAGTAAATGCCAACAACAAGGAGCAGGCTGACCCTTGTGCAATTAGAAATCATTTTCACTGTTCAAACACAGTTTTTATTTCCCTTCCTTTCACACAGGTCGATAAAGTGTGTGGACAGCCCAAACAACAAGAAGGGAACCAGCCATCAGGCCATATAGTGCCAGTGAAGGAAGCAACTGAAGCCCAGACACTTGTGTTGGCTCATGCTAGTCTGAACAATAAAAGAAGGTAACCCTAAGCAATGGCTGAGTTCAGATAAATTCTGCCTCACAATTCATGCTTGTGGTTCCTTGTCCCATACTGTTTAAGCCAGAGGCATATTTCTGTCATCCTGTGCATGCATGCTCTGTTATTGCCATTGCTGATAGTTACATAAATGTGTACGTGATATTGCATTGCAGATCTCCCCAGAAACAACAGGCCAGACTTGATGTCTCTATTTAGCACCAAGATGTTTTTATTTCCAGAAACTTTCAATGAAAATGATGAAAGCTTTTCCCTCAAAGTCTGAGTTTTTTCCCCGGTTGAATCTATGTTGCTCAGGACCCAGAAGATGTAGGCTTATCCCAGGGCAGAGATGAGAAGGGGAAATGGGTGGAGAAGAAAGATTGATTGCCATGACACAAAGTCAGTGATTTCACAGGGCAGAAAGAACAAGTTCTCCCTTCTCACTGGTGCAGGCAGCAAGATTCCTTGCAATCTGCCTGGTTTGTTACATAACAGGGAAGGAGCAGAACTGCTTGTATTTAGGATTTTGTGCCCACTTTGGCTTCTGTTCTTTGGCTGCATGCCATTTGAGTAACTAGAATGCTGAATTATTGCCACTGGCCTCAGTCCTGGCGTCAGTGTCCTTGCTCCATGGTTTTCTGATCTTTCTTTCACTTCCCCTTCCATAGCTCCTGGATTAGCTTTCTGTAAATGTGAAGGTAGGGGAAGAATGTATTTGCAATTCATTGATGTTAAGTGAATAGATACCAGAGCCAGCTGACTATAAAATAAAAATGACATATTTCTGGCTAACATGCTGTTTTCAGTAACACCAGTGTGATTCTGGAACAGCTTAGCAAAGTGAATGGAATTGTTCTGGGCATAAGCATCTAAACTTCCCAGGGAGTCTGTGTGTATCTCTGTATGTTGATAAGAGCAGTATTAACATTTATATAGCCTGGGTCCTGGTGTCTATGTTGTGAAGATGGCATTTTCATCTGTTTTTATTTTAATTGTCACGTATTACGGGAATGAGAAAAAATTATATAGGTAGGAGACAGCAGCATGCAAAGTTTTTTTTCTTTGAGTGATAGCAGCACTTTTATCTTTGTGTAATTTAAAACTGAAGATCAACATTTTGTGCTAGTGCTTGGAACGAATCATTTTTTTTTACCATGTACACAGAATATCAGAGAAAAGGGCATTAATAAAATCAATAAATTCAGTGGAAATAATCCAAAGAATGGTGGTATTACTGTTAAAAAAATATGTTTTTAAAACCATAGAATTCTAAGCCTATTTTCTGTATAACTCATTGACTTCACTGGGACTTAAATCCTGGCAACAATAAAGGCAGAATTAACAGCCTGTTAAATAGTGGCCTCTCACAGAAATGGGAATTGGTGTCTTTAGTAGCATGACGGCAAATCTTTTGCACTGCCTACCTCTGGAATTATTTGAATGTTCACCTTTTAAAATGTAAGTGAAAAAGACTTTCTTTCCACTTACGTGGAAAAGAAAATGTATTTGAACTATTCTCTATGGGTTAGACTTTCCCAGACTTGGTCTGTTCACTAAAAATTGCATTACCCCAAACATCTAAAGTAAGGCCACCCTTACAGAATTAGGATTGTTACTGAAATACAGCATCAGGAAGTATTGTGGACAGCTCATGCATCAAAAGTTAATGATGCAGCCATAATTAGTAAAAGGTGCAGAATGTTTTCCAGAACTTGCAATAAAACATATAGCATAAAGTTTGTACATTGTTTCTGTGACTGTGAAACAGTAAAAAAAAAAACCCACAGTGAATGGCTTCTGTTGTTTGCCTTCTATCATTCAATCACATATATCAATAAAAAGTAATTTTAGGTAATGAAGTGTCATAATGATGGGTAAAATCATCACTGCAGTGGGTTGTACAAAAGGCACTTAGTGTCAGGTAACTGCTGCAGGGGACCTAGGTTATGAGAGTAATTATGTGAATCTTTCCTGGTGCTGTTCCTTCTGGAAATTTAAAAAATCAGGAGCAATAATGTCAGCCGTCTGTCAGTTTAGGTCCTAGGTCACACCGGGATTCATCCCAACTGAGCCCCAGGCTGCTTGTCTGTGTTGTACACAGCCCTCCAAATGATCCTTGTTTCAAATGGGATACAGAGCACGACTCCTTTATACAGTAAGGAAAGAAAAAAAAAGAAGAAAAAGAATGAGTGAACACTCCCCAAGTAAACAAAAAAAGTGATGGCTCATTCCCTTAATGCACCAGAATAGTGCATTAAGCTCAAAGAACAGTCAGGGTAGTAGCAAACCTGTGGGATGTGCCCTTAAAAACCTAGTACCAGTTTACAGTTGCATACTTACATTTGTTCCAAAGGTACTGCATCTTTGCTAAGCCAATTATAGAATCAAGCTCCTTTTCCAGAGTCTGAGAACCTCTGGTTTCACCTGTTCATTGGAGTCAAAGCTTCTCAAGCATTTGTAAGATAGGCCTGTTGAGATGGTTTCTCTTCCCTGAGCTGGGCTTTCTTCTGGCCCCGTGTCTTTTAGGGTCTGGTCGGAGGAAGTTCCACTCAAGGGAATCACCCTCTGCTGTTCAGTGCAGTGTGGTCCTGCACTCTCGCTGAATTTGGGCAGCAGCTGGATCTTCTGGGGCTTTCTGCTCCTCTCACTGCCATATGGGTTGCTATGAGATTTCTCATCTTTATTTTCCCCCACAACTCGTTCTTATTTTTTGCTAAGCAGCACTAACTATCAAGAAGAAAATAACGTTAAGAAGATGAGATTTGAATAATTGCTGCATGATCTCCTGGCAAATTGTCTCCTTGATTAAGCTGAGAAGTATGCATTTTTTTAAAACCATTTTTTTTCATTATTCGGTGAATAACTGAGCTCATCAGTATTGGTGCTGCTGTGAGTTTTTAATGTGGAGGTTACTAAAACATACAGTAAAGATGACAAGAAAATTGAAACCATATGGTGGTACACAGAATGTACATGGCATGTACACAATCTAGATCAGTAGATTGGAATGTTGTTGCTGAGTTCAGCACAATGTACTACACTGGTCAAGGTTCAGACTCCTGGAAAATGCCTTCTGGCATTTCTTCTGTGTGCAGTATTTCCAGCCACTAAACACAGACTGGATAGAGATCTTTCTACAGAGTTCTGTTATGTTTGAGAAGAATACGACATGATGTGAAGTCCCTAATTGAAGGAAGCAAGCTTTGAAATGATATTTTGGTGGTTTTTCTTTGTTATCCTATGGGCTTGCGGATGTGTTTTATACATCTTAAAATAAACAATTTCGAATATCTTTGGGAATGCTGGAAGTCAAGGTCATCTATTTTATTTAAAATAAAATTTGGATCAGGCACACCACGTGGTTTTATTGAAATCTAAGTGGTAAGGTGCTAGTACAACATAGATTATTAGCACCGAACGCAAATGAATTTACTGCAGAGAAAACCAGAACATTTCTGGGTCATGAACGCAGAAGTTTCAGCTGGTCCAAATTCTGCCTGATACAAATACTGATTTTTCTTTTTGACTGGCTGTGTTGGAAACACTGCTTCCGTGGTGGTGGATGGCACCTGATGCTCATAGCAGGTCAGCCCTGCCCTCATTCCCAAAAAAACACCAGTAGGGTTTTCCGAGAGCTACTGAAGAAGGTGGAGGTAGTGTCTGTCTCCAATAAGACATAACTAGATTGGTAGCTATCACTGAATCTGTTTGTTGGCATACTGTACTCCAGGCATTGCCATTATGCTGAAGAGTACTGGTATAAGAAAGAGCAGAATGTGTTTTCAAGTCATTAAATGGAAAATTGCATCAGGATGCTAAAGACAATATTATTTGAGGGACCTCTGACATCAGTGTCTAAAAAATGAACTTGCACTAAGTAACTGACAGATTTTTTTTTTCCAGTTTTTCCTCAGATACAATCCTAAAGCCCATATATTCTGGTTTGTAAAGTTGTTTTTTGCAGTCCTTGATGCAGTCTGTCCAGAAATGAACAGTAGAAGATATCTGTGTATGCAGTCTTTGTTAACAGAGCAAACTGCTCATTGCACAAGAAAGCAAGTTCTACTCATTTATATCCCCTTTGCCATGATGATTGTTCTACACTGTTTCTCATTATTTCCCTATATAGCCTCAGATATTTGCAGTTCATCCATTTGGTATCAGTTATGGTTAATTTGAGTCCCACTGAATTTATTTTCAGCTTTTGGCTCTGTGCTGCATTTGTTACTGTGCTCTTATTTGAAAATGATCGAGAGAAACAAAATCTCCATTGTATTTCTTCAGCATTACTTTGACATGTTTAATTGCATCTACATTTTGGGAAAATCGCATGTCAATTTTCCTCTTCATTTGTTGTCTTATATTGTCCTATGCATGTGCTTGATGACCTTTCTCTCAAATAATTTTTATTTTTCTCTTGTTTCTCATTTTTTCCCTCATTTGCCTGAACTCCTGCTTCTCCCCTACTCCCCAAACTCTGACTGATGCTTATTCTCCCTGGCCTATTCCAGTTCTCTGCCTCTGAAACCTTCAAAGAATGACAAATCAAGAAGTTTGAAAAAAATCTCTCGGTAAGGATGAAAACAAAGTGACATGCTTACACTCAGTGCTTTGCTCATTTCCATTGTAAGCTGCTCTTTCAGCTGTAATCTAGTAATTGGCATACTTTTGTGTGTGCTGATTTTATACAGCGGGACATTGGGAAACACTGCTTTCTCTGCCTAGCATGTTTAGTTTTATATTGATGAAAAGTAAATGCTTTTATTGGTTAAGACTTGCAGATACAGATCTTCATTTGCAAAGATGTTGTTTTAAAATGTCAGAACCCCACTGCTGAAAACATGGAGTTAAAGCCTCTTGGGGTGAGCTGAGTAAGATGAGCTTCAGCCTCTCTTAAAGGGGCGACTTTTAACTGCTTCAAAGGAAACTGCCTTTAGAGGGCTTAAAATCTTCAGCATCTATGTCAGCTTTTCATAAATAGATGCTCTCAGGATGATTCTGTCAGAGAGGTGTCGTCCAGACTTAACCTCAGTATGTACATACACAGAGCTCCTGCTTGTGAGTGGTCAAGAGGCAGAAATACTGATTTCTTCCTTTATAAAGCCAAAAATTCCTATTCACTTTTTTTTTTATTTTTTTTTCCTTTTTTTTTTTTCTCTTGCAATGGCAGCTTTCTTGCAATGTTGGGGTAAGCTTGCTCCTTAGGACTATATGATGACTCATTCATCTAGGGCAGGACAGTCACATGTTAGACAAATACGATGGCAAAAAAAAAAAGAAAAATTGGGGAAGTGAAAAGACTGTTATGTGGAAAAATAACCCTGTCTCAGTCTTAGGATAGATGCCTAATAGTAGCCTTAAATGTTCTTTAAAGCACTTGTTACTCCCCAAAAAGTAATACATCCTGACAGCTCATGTGCCAAACTCCACCTAGCTGCATCCCAGGCAACTCTTCAGGACAGTGTTGTCCTGCAGCCTGACAGGCAGAAGCACAGTAAACCAGAATGAGTCTTTTGGCCTTCCAGAAGGAGGCAGACAGCACCGTGATAATTCTAGTGAATTTCTGTGTCCTCCTTACCAACATCTTTAGCTATCTTATACGAAATAAGCTTCTGGATGTGTGGATAGAGAGTAATTTCTTATATCACAGTGCTACCAATGGTGTGCTGAATGAACACTTGTTTTGCTATGGTGTGCATTTTTATGGCTGCCTCAGCGAGATACGTATTATACGTATAACCAGATTATGGAGGCAGCAGTTTAGCCACAAGGCATTTTTCCATGTTTAATCAGAAATGGGTTGTTTGCACAGGCCAGGAATTTTGGTGGTGCTCCAAAGCAGCAGGCACAACCATCTCCTGCGGGCATGTTGCCAGAGTTGATGGGAGAGAAATTTCTTTCCAGCGTGAATGTGATGTGGATAGTGATTATGGGGAGGAAATGGCCCCACCACATCCCAAGGAGATGGCATTCGTTTCTCTTGTTCCATTTGTATTTAATGGCATATTACAAGTTTTGTCACTAGCTTTACGAAGCATTTTCCACCCAGGAGCTTATTGACAGTTCTTTATGTATCTCTCTTGTGTACAGGGAAGGGAGAGGTATTTGATTCCAGTACTGGGGGAAAAAAAACCAAACCAAAACAAAACAGCACCACTCTTTTTTGTGGCAGTGTTTCTTTTCTTTTTTTTTTTTTTAATCTCTTGAGGCCGTAGATGTGGATTTCTTTAAAATTTTGAGGTGTTAACATTGTTTCTTGAAACTGCTCTTCTCTTTGTATGGAAGTATGTGATAACGGATGGTACACAGTAGTAGATATACACTAGAAATGAATTTTAATTAGCTTGGTTGACTTTTAATTTTTCTGTGGAATGTAAACTTTGATTTTCACAGAGAACTGGGTGCTTAAATCTTGTGTATGGTTTTGTTGTTAAATGTATTCTTCCTCCATTGCAGAGAATTCATCAATTATATGAAGCGATCCCGAACCTTTTATGCCTCTATAGCAGAAAGGCTGTGTGATGGAGACCTGGTGATGAGAGACAGCTCAACCTGCTGGAATGGAGAAGATGTTGTAGAGAGGTAATGTTTTGACTGGAAGTTTTCCCTAATGATAAAAACGATTACTACTGCTGTTTCAGCTGTTCTTAGCCAGTATTGTCACCATTAGGTTTCCCCTTCATACTGTTGCTTATGTGACAAGGGTTTTCCTAACATATATGATTCTTAATGCTGAGTTTTAGATACTAAATGTATTCAAGGTATCAAAAATATTAAATGTAGTGGAACACTTTCTTGAAGGGCTCTTTTGAAGGGTCTTTCTCCTTTTCTTTGGAGATTCTAACCTCTAAAGCCAAATTAGGAATAGTAGGAAATAATCACGCTTGCTGTGTCAAAATACAGTGATAGTAAATCAGCAGAAAATTGTAGGTAAAGCAAGAATGTGAATGAATTAACATGGCTATCTTGTACTGGACATGAAAAAGGTGGGAGCTGAGCAACTTGCTTATCTGGTCTAAACACTGGACTGATATGGAGGGAAGATGTGCTGATTAACACCTCACTCGAGGCATAGTGGCAGTAGCTACTGAAAGATGCCTGGAATGGGGCTGAAGTGTCCCAGTCTGATGTTGTTCCAGTAAAGGTGTCAGTTTGGCGAAGCTGGGAGAGCAGCCCAGCCTCTGTACCAGACAGTGGCCTCAACCCTCACATAATTAACAACGCAAGCTTTGTTTTAGGATGCCTGTCAGCACACTGATTCAGTCTCACCTCATTAAGAGTATAAATCTGGCCCTCTGACAACACTTTGCTGAGAGGAGACACTGCATCTATTTGGACATATCTATGGGTTGGATCCATCCTCCTGTTCCCATTAGCGGGTCACCTCCTCCAGTAAGATACCAAGATGTTGTATCTCTATAACTGCAGATGATACCTGGGCGAATTGTTAGTTAATTACGGCCTATTCTTGAGGTACTAGCACAGCCAGTCAATGTGGCTAGTGAATTTATAGTGTCAATTCTTAATCTGTTATCTGTCACCTTAGTAAACTATCTATTTCCAACTGTATGAACCATTTCCAGTGAAAGTCTTTGAGAGATCTCTGACGGGTGTTGACTCTGGTAAGTGGCTCTACATATTAGCCATTAGACAAAACTGTTGACCACGACTAAGACTGGGCCTCGCTGCACTCAGATTCCAGTAGTTATTTTAAAAGCCAGGGGCTGCTTTCTGAATATGGTTGACTCTGCCACGGTGAGCTGTGTGTGAGTCAGGTTCGTACCCTTAAAGCAATAGCAAGAAGTACCTCTGCAGATGACTCAAATTTCCTTTTAGTCTGCTGTTTATACATTCCTTAATAAGAACATTGTTTTTATCCATAGTGAAAAAACAGGCTTTTCCTGCGTAGGTGTGAGAAAAATACAGTGACTAGGTGGTGATATACTGAAGGATTTCCCTGCCATTTCCTTTGAATATTTCTGAAACAGCACTTAGAATAACAGCTCCTTGTGGAATTGCCCAAAATTCTCACCACAGAATACTCTGTGGGGGTTCCTATAAAACACAATTAATAAGTGCACTCTCATATGCTGTAAGCACTGTAGGATGAAAGGAACTTCCTAGTTCTCTAGATTTGTTTTCTCCTTTTGTGTTTTCTGACAGACTTTCCCACCACTCGCAGCCTCCACAGGCTGAACTTTTTGCTGTCATTTCTTTTACCCTGATAAACATGAGACAAAAAGAGGCATTCGGAATGTAACTGTAGCTATTACTATTGCTGTCAAAGTGTATGTCAGTTTTTATAGTGAGGGTTCTTTGGGTGTGTGCCAGTGAATATTTTCCAGAAGCGTCATTTCGTTAAAACAGAGAAGTGATTTGAGATTGTGTTGGCTTTCACAATTTCCTTTTAAAGTGCATTTTGTAGTCTGTAGCAGCTCTAAAGGATAAAGTTCTAGGTTTCTGTTTTCTTCCATCAAAACGATTTTCATTATTGAAAAAATTGTTTTGTAGAAAATGTGGAATTGATTTCAGCATGGAACAGAAATGCTGCAGTTACAGGCAATTAAAAGGAGTTCTGACTCCCAACAGCTCTGCTTAAATTTTTCATGTGTAAATAGTTTCAGCTTGATTATGTTTAAGATATCTGCGATAAATGCATGTCTTACACATTCTAAGATAACTTTAAATGTTAATGTTTCAGTACATACTGGCTTACATATTATTAATTGTAGTAGCATATATTAGAACAGTATGACAGCAGTGCAAGATTCTAAATTTTAATGTATAGTAATAGTAACAGTGATTAAGGCTTTTAGCATAAGACTAGCAAAGAAGAAATAGGGAGAATAACAATATTTCTAATCAGTGTTTCCATTTCGGAGTCCTTTGTGTTGGTAATGTTGCGGTACAAACAACTGACTTCTAGAATTAACAGCCTTTTCCCCTGGGAAAAAAAAGCGAGAAGCAAAACAAAATAAAACAAAATTTCTATAGTGACTGTCTGAACAAAAACACTTAGTTTCAATTTCAGTCTTCCATTTTTAATAGAAATAACGATTTTGCTGTCTTTTTTGTTGTTGTTTTTCGTTTCTTTTTTTTTCCCACCTCTGCCAACCTGTAGATTTTGCAGAGCTAAGCGCACGAAGAGCATGTAGCTAACATATTTCATGAGCAGATTAGGATGAAAAAAAATAAAATCATGCTTTGAGCCAGACTGCACTGTGCATACATTTATCAGTTGTGTCACAGTACCGGTCATTTTAGGAGGCTCTCTGAGCAGCCTGCACTGCCAGCAACACTGTACAGGACCACAACCATGGCACCAGCTAGCTGGCAAATCTTAGTCCTCTCATCATGTGTTTGACAGACTGCACTTGACACCAGTTCTGCCCGTAAGAGAAATAAATCTTGTGCCCTGGTGATGCCTGAAGATGCATTTCTCTTTGCTCTTTCTTCTTTCCCAGGAAATAAGGTTAAGCATCAGCTGTAGTAAATAGCACTGAACTCAAAATAGAGCCTTATTCTTGACTCAGAAAATACATCTCTTCAGTTAATCTGGTGCATCTTGCATGAACCCGAGTCTGGATGTGAAAATGGCAAAAGCCACAGTGGGTTTCCTTAAAGATTCTTGCATTTCATAGTGCTATTTGAAAGCTGAGTGATACCTGTGTTACATACAAATTGGTGCTCTAACTCTTCAGGAAAAACAAATTCAAACTTCTAAAAAATTTGATGCATGTCTGCAGCTTGTAACAATATGAAACTGTTACTCTGAAATGGAGATCCGACATGCAATTAGTAAAGAGGCTACTAGTGTTCTGTCAGTGGATCTGAAAAACAGATATAAAAAATATGTTTTTGTATCTGACTGACAAGAAAATAATGCCTCCTATTTTATGATGCTAGCTCACAACTTCAGAGGCAGATGTTACTGGTATGGCAGTAGAAACTGAACCTTCCTATCTGTATTCCATTACATGTTGTTACTGTGTGACAGATGGCACTAGAGGGGCAGTCTGACAAATGGCATCTGACGTGGAAGTGTGTACAGAGCAAAGGTGTGGGACTGAATTCTTCCATGCAGAAAAAAAGTCACCCACTGACATTCATCGACAATTACTGGATGTTGATGGACATCAGACAGTGGATGTAGCGCAGTGAGGCTTTGTGTCATGCATTTCTGCAGTGGAAACAGCAATGTGAAAGACAAGCCAGATTCCAGATGGCCATGCATGGCTCATCTGTGCAAATCAGAGGATTATGACCAGGGAACTGTGTACAGAACTGAATGTTGTTGTCAATGCGTTGGAAACGGAGGTGGCAGTGTTGGAATATCACAAAGTTTGCACTAAGTGGGTCCCATGAATGCTCACACAGGAACAGAAAGAACACTATATGCAAGTTTGTCAGGACCTACTGAATCAATAGGAGGCTGAAGATGTCATTTTCCTGGTTGACATCATTACTGGTGCTGAGACACAGTCTCACCACTACGAGCCACAGTCATAATGGCAGTTCAAAGAGTGGTGACACATGAATTCCACACTGAAGAAAAAGAAACAGCCCTTGGTGGGTAAAGTGATGTGCACTGTCTTTTAGGATAGGAAAGGGTGATCCTTCTGAAACCCAGACAAACCATCCACTCTGACCACAACATAGAGACTCTAAGCTGAAGTCTCAAACTTCCAGAGCCAGAGAAGAAGATAGTCTTTCTCTTGCAACACCATAATGCCAGGCACCATGCCAGTTTGTAGACCACAGAGCACATTGCCGATGTTGGCTGGACTGTCCAACATATTCAAAGTATAGTCTGAATTTGGCACCTTCTGACTTTCAATGAGAGATGGACTGAGTAGGCAGCATTTTCATAGCAAATGCACCATCATAGTAAGTGCAAAACAGTGGGTCACCTCCAATGATGCAGATTTTTACAAGTGCAGCATGCAGCTCTCATTCATCGCTGGCAAAAATACATAGCTAATGGTGGTGACTATGTAAAAAAAACCTGTTTTGTAGCTGAGAATTTGTTCTATTAAATAGTGTTATTGTGGCTTTTTGTATGTTACAGTTTCCATGGAAATAAATAGAAGGCATTACTTTTGGAGCAATCTCTGGATTGGATTTTATAATGTTTAAAAGCAATGCAATAGCGGGCAAAATAAAGTTTGAGCTGCCAAAAAATACACCATAGAAAAGCATGGTTGTTTCTGCTGATATGAGGCTGTGCTTCTGGTCTGCTTTCCAGATGAACAATGAAACACAGCTTTTCTAGCAGTCTTCTAATGACATTTCTGGAGTTTTGAAGACAAACGTAGTATCTTTCTGTTAATGGCTCTTTTAAGCAACTTAGTCCTGGAACTAAATTCCATGTAAGGAATATTATAGTCTGTGGGGTTAATAGATGGCAGTACAGAAAGTGCTCAGAGAAGAATAGGCTAGAACTGAAGAACTGAAAATAGTACTTGATGAAGTGAAGCAAACTTGTGGACATTGCCATACTTTAACTTTTCTTTCCTATGAGTGTGTCAGAACAAAATTTCAACGCCATGTCAGGAGAAGAGATGAGAAGTTGATAGTATGAA